CTCATTTCCTTTCCTCTCTTCTATGTCACTCCTTTCCTTCCCTTTACTCTCTGGTCGTCTTTCCTTTCCTTTACTCTCGGGCCTTCTTTCCTTTCCTTTCCCACCCTCCACTGTCTCCTTTGTCATTTCCTTCCCCCTGCTCTCTCCCACTGTCACCTCTTTCCTCTCCTTCCCTCCAGAGTGGCTCACTTCATCCCAGACATCATCCCCATCATCTCCAGTGACCAGTACCGCATCAAACAGATGGTCACCAACACCAGGCTCCTGCTGGGAGTACTGGCCAAGGTACCAACACTTCCAGTTAACTTAGGCTCTTAAATCTGCTCCACCTTTGCAACCTCATTTAAACAAGTCAGATGAAACACAAGTTTTAGAGACGCTGGGCTCGTCTGTGTCGCAGTACAGTTCCAAGTCATCTGAAGGACACAAAGGAAACTAGGAGAGAAATACACGAGGACAGAAGAAGAAAAGTTGTTTTAATCCAGAATATGTTGTGTCTGTCGTCCTCAGCGTGGCAGTGTGAGGGTGGACTCAGTGGAGGACTTCGCCTACGGGTCGGAGATACTCGTCAACACGATGGACAAGGTGACTCCAACCCAGTCTCACTCCAGAGTCGAAATATGGCGCTTGGGTGGTGACTTCAGGTGTCAGACACCAAGAAAAAAGCCGTCCTTTCATGTCGGCATGATAGGCAGCAGGTTGGCGGTAATGTATAAGGGTGACCAGCGGTGTCAGGGCGCAAACACAGCTGGGACAACGACAAAAGTTAAGGCAGCAGACGTCTGAGTACTAAACGTAACCACGTGTGTGTGTCGGCTAAACGTAACCACGTGTGTGTGTCGGCTAAACGTAACCACGTGTGTGTGTGTGTGTGTTGGCTAAACGTAACCACGTGTGTGTGTGTGTGTGTTGGCTAAACGTAACCACGTGTGTGTGTGTGTGTTGGCTAAATGGTGCTTTGCTCCAGTAAACATCGTCATATTTCTTGGGTGAAAGTAAGAATATAACAGTTCTGTCAAGAAGCACAAAGTAGCAGAAAGTAAATGTACTTAGTTACCTTCCCCACTCAGTAGTAATAGTACTAGCAGTGATTGGAGTAAAGTAATCCAGTTACCTGACCTCTCCTGTGTGCAGGTGTGCAGCCGGCCGGCGCTGCAGGCGGAGGAAGTGGCCAGGAGGGCGGAGAAGCTTCAGGGCCATGTGGCCTACAGCCTGCTGTGGTACAACTGTGAACACTACGTCATGTACTGTCGATACGGCACCGTCCTGAGCTACCAGACCTTTCAGGTGACGCTCGACAGACAGACTGAAGGATAATCTCAGCTCAGTCACCTGAAGACAATATTGGCATCGTATGTTTCTGCAAACCACGGATATATTACTTTTATATGTTTTAAAACAGCTGTTTTTCAGAGACCTATCGCTGAGTGTACAGCGAGGAGAGTTCCCTTAAAAGATGGTATTTAAAGCAATAACATGATCTCGTCTGAACCATAACCAAGTGGTTTTGTCTCTAACCCGACCACATGCTGACCACAAGGTTCAACATAGCTGCTACATTATAACGTACAGTGTAACGTATCCATGGTTCACAGACACGTACAATGCCAACACCTCTCCTGGTGATCATGGGCTGGCTCATCACAACCTGAACCTCTTTAATGTCTGAGTATCCGAAGATATACAACATGTTTTATGTCGTAGATCAGAAGAAAGTTTCTCATGAAACATTTGAAATAGTTGAATAAATGAAAGACGCTGAAGTGCACTTTGTGGTAAAAGTAGATGTAACTTGAGATGTGTGATGTCGTGCAGTCTGAGTCTGAGTTTGAGGGTTCATGTATAAAAGTCTAGTTTATAGACATTTGTGACTGTTATCTCATTTTTGATGACATGGTGCACATTTCTAAATTATTTTGTATTTATTCAAACTGCTAATTATCAAACCTGGTGACAAACAGTATTCTAATCAGAGAGGAGGTCTCATCGGGGGGTTAACAGGTGTCCAGCAGTTTGTTTTGTGTCATCTCATTTCCTTTCTTCTCTCCTATGTCATTTCCTTTCTTCTCTCCTATGCCATTTCCTTTCTACTCTCCTATGTAATTTTCTTCCTTCTCTCCTATGTCATATCCTTTCTTCTCTCCTATGTAATTTCCTTCCTTGTCTCCCATGTCATTTACTTCCTCCTCTCAGTGTCATTTCTTTTATTTTCTCCTATGTCATTTACTTTCCTTTTGTTACTCCTATGTCATTTCATTTCCTTCCTTCTCTCCTATGTCATTTCCTCCTTCTCTCCTATGTAATTTCCTTCCTTCTCTCCTATATCATTTACTTCCTCCTCTCAGTGTCATTTCTTTTATTTTCTCCTATGTCATTTCCTTTCCTTCCTTCTCTGCTGTGTCGTTTCCTTTACTTTCTTCACTCCCATGCCATATGTTTCCTTTCTTCAGTCTTATGTAATTTAATTCCCTTTCTCCACTCCTTTTTCATTTCCTTTCTTTTTTTCTCTTTCCTATGTCAGTGTTGAGGTTCAAACTGGGCTGAAGTTGGTTTCAAAGACCAAATTTCATTTCAGGCGTCTGGGTCACAAAAACTTTTGACCCAAACTCAGAGTTAGAGACATCTTACGATATATGAATCACCAAGAACCAGCCTATCAGCTAAAATCTTTAAAGAACTGTAACATACAACATACTGTATATATTGCACTGTACAGGATACATAGTTGGCACTGTATATATACTGTACTCAGAGTAGATCTCCGGTCTTGCACACTCACTGGTTGTTTCCACAGACTGGTTGCGGCAGCGGTGTGACCTTTAGCTGTGAGCTGTTTATTTCCTGCAGCAGATTAATACTGACCACAGATCAGACCAGCCTCCCTCTTTAATTAAGCTAAGCCTTGTTGTTGCAGCAACAGTCAAGTTCAATGAAAGCTCTATTGTTTGTGTGGTTTGGGTCTCAGCTGCTGATGGTTGTGTCAGAGCAGCTCTTAATTTCACATGAGTGAAGGCGTGACAGAACATTCTTGTGAAAGAGACGAGCAAACAAGACTCTGGGTTTGAGACTGACGGACAGAATGATGAAGAGGAGGGAGAGGAGAGAGGAAGACTGAGGAGACAGGAAGTGGACAGTGTTACTGCTCCATCTAGTGGCTGATCCCTGATAATGTTCACTTACTGTTGAAACCAGAACTGTATTTTATGACATCATGAGAGAGGCTACAGAGCAGAGCCATCCATGCAGTCTCCAGATAATCTAAACACGTTAATAATAATGTATTTCCAATTTCTGTATCCAATCATCTACAGTATCTCTCCATCCCCATCACCCTCTCTCTTCTTCTCTTCATCAGTTCTGTAAGACAGTGAGGAAGCTGTTGCTGAGTCGACGTGTTGCCAAGGCGACGGCGGTGCTGGGTGTGTGCCTGCTCCTCTGCCTGGAGGCTGTGACCGCCTGCTCCGCCACGCTGGCCGTCCTGCTGCCCTTCCTCATCTGGATGGCAGCATGAACACATAACACTGAGCCAGAAACACCAGCAGAGCAAATAAACTCTCTGTTTAGATGAAGATGTGTCTCGTCTGCAGTCTGACATGATGAAGAACACACTGGATTAATCTGTAATACTGACACGAGTCTAATAAAGAATGTATTTTTGACTGTGTGGTGTTTGCTGTGCTCCTAAAATCCTCTGTTTAAATAATTTCATTTGTCAAACAGTTTAATCATCAAAAAGAAACCTTATATTTCAGGGTTTTAAGGTTTCCTGTGTATTAAGATCACAGGAACTACAACTACGAACTACATTTCCCATGTATACTTGCATGACAAAGCACAGGTGTGCTTGATGTATTTAGAAACTCTGGAGAGACAGTTTATCTAATTAAGGTCCAGAGACTGAAAACTTTATCATTTAAAAAGGAAAGCATTTTTTGCCTCAATTTTAGACAATGCACGCACGCAGGAATTTTATGTTTTTATTTTTTTTATTTTATTTTTTAGTTTGGTAGATTTCATGTTATTTCTTTTTTTTTATTGGAAAATTAAATTAAGTATAATTTTATTTTTGTTTTTTTTATTTTTATTGATTTTTAGTAAAATTATTTCATTTTTATAAATTCAATTATTTGAAATTTATTTGATATTTAGGTTAGTTATATTAATCATTTATATTTAATATTATATTTTAAT